GTTAGTTCACAAATACACATACGCGTCTGTTGAATGGCGGGCGTACAGGAATAGGTCTAGGATTTATAGCAGTGCTGATGTAATTTTTTAGAGATCTCGGTCTCTTTAATAATTAGTTACGTCTGGTGATTGTCATCCCGTTTGTTTGTAGCTATGGTTTATGAGACCGTATTCACACAGATCTTAAATGAATTTGTATATGTTCGACAGAGTAACAATAAATGTATTGAATCCCTTGGGGATATAATGTATAGCTGGCTCTTTCCATCCTAATCTAGTCTTCGAAACAACCAAATCAGTACACACTAGAAACTAAAACAAATGTTAATAATACTAGAAAGAAAAGGAAGGCTATTTAGAAAAAATCGTAATGGGTCATCGAACGAAGACGTTGAAGAAATCGGCGCGTGATGATCCTCCTCTGAATTGGGAATAGCAAAGAAACCTCTACAAATACTGAAGATACCTCTGTAGATAATTTTGTAATAATGTTCGTTCCATCAGCAAAGGTAGGTAAGTGGCACGGAGGTTCTCGGGCGTCTGGCTTCCTCCCTCCTGTGAAAGCGTATTGCGGCCAGTCAGTGGGTGCTCTATGGTTGCGATAGATCCGTTGTGTGTGAGAGCCAGTATTTCAGTGGACACAATAAAATATTTTTTGGCCGTTTTCGTCGAGAATTGACTCTAAAAGAAGAGAAATATTAAATGTAATAATTTTTTATTTGAATGTCGCCAATAAGAGTTTACCAGTACACCAAAAGCCATTGACTTTCAATTTCAGAATATTATTTCTTGCCCTAATTTGTCCCAAGTTTTGAACTCACTGACCACCACTGTTGGGTAGGGATCTCTCAGTTGACCCTGTCTTGAGTAAAAGGAGGGATGTTCGTTCAACATTTTTCACCAAAATCATTCGGAAAAAGAGTCCCAATCGTCCCGAGTCTCCCCAACTACCATCAATAACTGCAATAAACTCAAACAAGTAATACAAATTTCTACTAGTACAAATAACACCTACAGTACGAAACTGTAAACGCCTTCAAAAAAACACAAGAGAGCAACTCGTACGGGTAAAATATTGTTACGAATATTGCGTCACCTACCGAATTCGCTGCGCGTGGATTGCGTCATCCGCCGGCGCCC